CTGCGCGAGAATCCACCGCGAGCCTTCGAGCTCACCCCTCACTGGTCCGCGCTATAGTGTCGCGGGGCTGCGTACGCCTGGGGTGGGGCGAGTTATCGATTCCGCCATCGAGCGAAATTTCGGGAGCACTCTTGGATCGGCCTTGCTTAGAGACAGACGTATCGAGTTCAAGTCGCGATACTATCCGAGCTCCGTTCGTTAGCTTCTGACGACTATCTTTTTCGACCATTGGGACGACGGCGAAGATCCTCGGGGGAGTGCTGACTCACGGTGAAGTTGTCTCGTATAAAATTCTTGATGTAAAGCCACGACACCGCTCTCCGGGTCGCGCTCTCGCTCGGGAATGTTCGCGGTAATTAGCGTATTCGCCGCCAAGGCGTATTTAGCGATCGACACCGAAAGCGAGGGGCACCGGAATGGTCTCGTGGCCATCCTGGAGATCGCGGTAGGCGCGTCAATGACGACGTTCGATATCGTGAGTACGCCATTTCTCGCGCCCTTCGCGTTTATGACCGCGTGTCTCGTTGTGCGTAGCAATTCGCCCGGACGGAACTTAGATTCCACGCGCCATATGAATTACGTTAAAATGTTAATTTCGTCGGTTTAATTGCGTCTAGATGTTACTCGCGTTGACGTCCTACTCGCGTCAGAATATTACTCGCGTTCAGTCATTTGCGTTAGAATATTACTATTTGCGTTGGAATGTCGGTTCTAGGAAGAAATCTCCCCGGAAAAATCCTCCCCGGAAATAAGTTCCCGGGAAAATCTCCCCGGAAAAAATCTCCCCCGGAAAAAGTCTCCCCCGGAAGAAATCTCCCCCGGAAAAAATCTCCCCCGGAAAAAATTTCCCCCGGAAGAAATCTCCCCCGGAAAAAATCTCTCCATTTAAAATTCCAGTACTACTGTATTTCAAATTGAAATGGCATTTTTAAAAGCCGTTACACTAAACTGTGCGACTTTATTTGATGCTTGTATATGTTATTATTCGGAACCGTCAACTGATTGTACTGTGTTTAGACTACTACTAGAATTTCCCGAGTGTGAAATCAAAGAGTGTTTATTCCATTTCGGTCAAGCACTTTGGCGTAGTATACAAGATCACGACCTTGCGCCATTGTACCGCGAGAGCAGCCGCGTAGCTCGTAATTTGCGAATGTTATTCGCAGTGGCATTCGTTCCTTCCTGCGATGTCACTTACGCGTACGATGCTTTGCTGCAGTCGAAATTTTTCACGGATAATGAGAAAGATTTGAGAACGGTTCGCGTGGAAAGTGTATGCGTGAACTATTTCGGGACTACCGCACCTCCCCCGAAAGCACGGAGGGGGGGTGTGCGTGAACCTCGGTTCGCGTGGAAAGTGTATGCGTGAACTATTGCGTGAACTATGCGTGGAGGCAGTAGGTTCCGCCCCCCTGCGGGCGGCTCCACTATCATTAAACTATACACATAGTGTGCCTTGCGAAGTACGTGCGTGGGCTTTTCACACGTGGAAAGTTGTAAACCCATGTGGCACCTCGGTTTTTGCTGGGCACGGAAATTTTTTCCGGGAGAGATATTTTCCGGGGGAGATTTTTTCCGGGGGAGATTTTTTCTGGGGGAGATTTTTTCTGGGGGAGATTTTTTCCGGGGGAGATTTTTTGATGGGGAGATTTTTTCCGGAGAGATTTTTTCCGGGAACTGATTTCCGGGAGATTTTTTCCGGGGAACAAAACGTTGGTTACGGGAATGTCGTTCGCGTCGACATACTATTTGCGTTAGGATGTTGTCCGTATCGACCGATTCCTTGTATTAAAATATTATTCGCGTTCTGCCGAGTATTTGCGTTCGATTAAAGTGCGTTCGGATTACTCGCGTTGGAATCTTACCCGTGTTCGACTTCTTGCACTAGTATTATTTGCGTCATTAATTACGGCCGGATATTGCTCGCGCCGACAACTCATTTAGATTAAGATTATTACTCGCGTTAGATTAAGATTATTCCTTGCGTTAGATTAAGATTATTCCTTGCGTTAGATTAAGATTATTACTTGCGTTAAATTGAGAGTATTTGGCGACCAAATTCCTGCACGGCTTGGGACCTTACGTTCACGCGTTTCGAACGTGACGCACTATCCTTTCGCGGCGTTTCACGCTATTATTTCACGTTTACTCCAGTTTATGTCGTATTCGGTCGTAATTTGCGCCGATGTTCTACATCATTCGTCAGTTTAATACTCTATTATTATTATTATCTGCGTGGTTTATATGATTTCGAAGATTTTGTGAGTTTGGTTTTCTCCTCTGGTATTATTTTGCTTAATAACGACGCCTTCCGCGCGTTTACTAAATTACATAATTCTCCATGTTTTCTGGCGTCCGCGTTACTATCATTTTGTTGTTTAGAGATTGATGCTTGCATTATCAACCGCGCTATTAATTTTCTTATTAATGAAAGCCAGGATGGCCTTTGTTCTATTACACAATAAATGTTACGTTATTTGTTAGCGATTGAGTTTATGATTTACATGTCACCCCGCCGAATATCGCGCTGCCCTTCATCAATCCCGCCCTGTTATTAGGTCGAGCTAGCCATTCCCTCGCACACCGACTTATTTCGTTTTGCGTCTCTTCTTGATTTTTCGCGGTTTCGCGGACGCGAATTTACGCGTCTGGCGCCCAACAATAAATTCGGTTCGTGTAGCGTCGAAGGTGCGAGAGAATCGTCGGAGAGGCCTATCATCCTTCTCTTCTTTCCCCTTTTGATCCGTCACACGCCCCGGACCGCTCCGGGAGTGAAAAAGTCGTGACAATATATAATGAAACATATTATATATTCTCTATTAATTTCCTGAATACACATATTTTATGTCATTTAGTAATACATAAAATGGGTCTCCTCCAATTCTTTTTATTGTATATCGCCACAAATATTCACACAGATGATCGACTAACTTATCTTGTTTAATACCATCTCTACTTAAACGAGTTCGTAAAGCACGCCACGAACCCATGTGACAACTCGTCTCGCGTGAAAAGTGTATGCGTGGAGGCAGTAGGTTCCGCCTCTCTGCGGGGGGCTCCACTATTGTTAAACTAGACCCATAGTGTGCCTTCAAAGTACATGCGTGGGCTTTCCACTGCTTTAACCTTATTCGGTCACACTTCCCGAGAATCCCGTACCGGTCACACTGGGTAAAATACACCCCCAGCGTGTTTGCACGTGTATAAAAAATTGTAGGTGACCTTAAAAAAGAAAAAAAAATATCCTGTTGTAGTTTGTCTTCCTTAAAAAGACTGTATAGGTTTGATTTGCAAAAAATTAATTTAACATATGTAAAAAAATTGTTGAAAACAAAAAAGTCGGAAAAGTGACTTTTCACAAAAACTAATGTAACTTTTTCAATTTTTAAGATATTTTAATTTTTCAAACGGTTTTTTCATTCTCAGATGACGCACTTTTCACTAATTATTGCAGTTTATTCGGCCGTTCCAAAAAAGTATATTAATTTTGAGGTTATAAAAATGCCGAGAGAGAACTAACGGGCCGAAAAATATACCACCGACGGGGATCGATACTTGAAGGTCCCAACTACCTGTAGATGGCGGTAGAAGGCCTATTTCCATTGGTTTACTGGGTCGTTTTCGAAGTCAAAAAACGCTGGGGTGTATTTTACCCAGTGTGACCGAATAAAGTTAAAATTTCCATTCACTGCCTTAAAAGACTTTTCTTTGTTCATACATGTACTATTTCCACATATATATTAGTCATTTATGTCTTTTAATACTCAAAATAACTGCTACATTTCTCAAAATTTTTTTGTTAATAACTTCTGAATAAACAACGAGCGCGGGCTGAAATCTTCTGAAGGTTACTCAGGAGGGTGACCTTGACAACATACTAAAATATCAAGGTCATCCAAGGTGACCCCCTTCATGTACACAATTACCAAGTTTTTTTTTATTTGAAAGGGCAAAGTCCGTACTTTGAGAGGGTATTAATGATTATGTTCACCGATTTTTTTGTTAGACGGTGGGAGACTGCAAATTTCAACATTTTGAATATCTTAAATACGTCCTTATTTAAAGCTGACTACGCCTTTGAGTATTAACCTGAGTAAAAATTGAACAAAAGTACCTTATAGTAGAGAGTTTGCCTTGTAAAACCTTTTTTTAAACTTTTTTTACGTTAACTATTCGCTGAGTAATTACAGTTTAAAAGTGAGCAAAAATTTACTGACAAAAAGTAATCCCCTAATTTTTTTGAGCAGTGTATTATAATTTTATTCCAAAGTGTGCTACTTTATTACAGGCGTAGGACTTTGATACAACTGATATAAATTGTACCGTACGCGTGATTTAGACACATACCGTTTTTATACCACCGTTTGTCATATTTTAAATACGAGAAACGGATCTTATCAAATGCCATGTATCAGATGATCTGACATTTGCATATAGGGTGTAACAGAAAGGTCGGGACACTGGATTATCTCGGAAAGATGACGTTCGGAAGAAATGTTTTAGGGTGAAAGACCGTATTACTGGCATATTAAGCATTCAGTAACATTTGATTTAATATATAATTTAGAACAATCAGAAAAAAATATTTTAAAAAGATAAAGTATCATTGCTTGTATATATGTATATATACACACACATATATATATACAGGGTGATTCGAAACAACCTTTTATTCTTCAAACTACAGATTTTTGACACAATTCTAAGAAAACTTTTTCTCTTGCAAAATTGTGTCCAACGCTTACTCTTTCCGAGATATTAACAAAAATTGTTACCCTATTACGGGTATATATATATATATATATATATACTAGCTGGTTACCCGGAGGACATGTGTAATAAGACACGCAAATAGTCTCTCTCTCTCTCTCTCTCTCTCTCTCTCTCTCTCTCTCGCGGGTGCTGTTGCTGCTTCTGGTACGCAGTCGCCGTCCACCGACGCATTGTTACGATCGATTCTGTCTAAACTTGAAGAATCTGACAAGAAATTTGCTGCCAGGATGGACGAATTGGACAAGAAGTTCACGGCCGTATTCGAGGAGTCGGACAGGATCACGGCTTTTATTAATCGTCAGGAGGCTGTAAACGTAGATTTTGCGCACAAGTTGAACCAGATTCCGGATGTTTTGAAAATTGTCGAGGGTCACGGCAAGAGAATTGCGGCGTTGGAGGCTCAGAGCGCACGGCTCTTGAGCTCTCAGCGGGTTGTTAGCAGGTCGTCTGCTGCGTCGGGGGTCTGCAGAACGTCGGACATTATTATCTCGGGTATACCAAGTGAGTTCACTGATTCATCCGGCGATATAGGGAGCGTTTTTACGGCGCTGGGTATTCCTCAACTGGTCCCGGACGTTCTGGAGACCCGCGACGTGGTAAAGCGAAGCGTGCCGATAGCGGGCGGCGAGTCGTCAGGCGACGTTTCGACTGCTGATGGTGGAGTCGAAGCAGCTGGTCGCAAAAAATCAGTAATAGTGGCACTTAAGTCACGTGAGGTTCGTGATCATGTTCTTAAGGTGATGTGTAGTAGGCGACGACTAACGGTAAACGATGTTTTTGAAAGGAATGTCCCGGGCAACATTCACGTAAACGAGCTGTTTCCGACTGACACTTACAATTTGTTAAATCGAACGAGAATTAAAGCAAGGCAGTCCTCTTACAGGCATGTGTGGAGCAGGGATGGCCAGATCTTTGTCCGTAGGGAACATGGGCAGCCTCCCATATTAATTTCTTCTGAGGCTGATTTAGCAAAACTCCAATGACCTGTGGTAGATGTCGGTTGTGTTCCTGCTGCTTCACATGGTTGTCTCAGGATTGCTCATTTGAACGTCAGTTCCCTCCCTGCCCATCTTGAGTCGATTCAAGCCTTCTTAGCATCCAAATTTTTTCACATTGTCTCTATTTCCGAGACTTGGCTTCATTCTCATATTTCCGACGACCTGATGCGAATTGCCGGGTATTATCTACTACGTAACGACAGAGAGGGCAGAGAGGGTGGTGGAGTGGCCTGCTACGTACACGAATCGCTCAGGGCGCGTGTTCTTGCGGCATCGCCTTTTGCTTTCTCGAATTCACCTGAGTATCTCATTCTCGATGTTCGTGATGGCACCCGCGAGCCTCTTTTATTCACCTCAATGTACCGTAGACCGAAGGGGCGAAATTTCAGCGATTATGTCGGCGCATTTACTGAAGTCTTGCATAACTATAAAAATATTGTAATCACCGGTGACTTAAACTGCAATCTCCTCACTTCTTCATATGAATCTAATCACCTGAGAGACGTGGTTTTGCAATTGTCGCTCAACATCGTTGAGTCGAAGTCGACCTTTCATACCGGCTCCTCTGATTCTTGGCTTGACGTCTTCATAGTCGATAGCCCGGATAAAGTGTTATCATTTCATAAGTCCGAAGCTCCCTTTATTAATGGTCATGATTTAATCGAGTTAACATATTCATTCGAGGTTCCTTTGTTCGGGAGCCGGACTTTAGTGAGGCGCTGTTACAAGAGCTTTGAAAAACAGGATTTTATCGAGATGCTCACTACTAAGCTATCTACGTCTTTTCTACACGACTTTGCCCAGACGAAACCTAGCGAACTCGATGTTGACAATATTTTGAACACCGTTACCAGCGATTTCACTGCCGCCTTAGACATGCACGCTCCAATTCATACTTTCCGAGTAACTCGTCCCTCAGCGCCTTGGCTTTCGGATGCTCTCACTGGTATGATCCGTCACCGAAATCGGCTTTATAACATTGCGCGCAGATCAGGAAATTTACTCGATTTCCATATCTATAGGCTCTATAGAAACAATCTCACCATCGACTTAAGGAGAGCGATGGAGCGGTTCTTCAAGGAGAGATTGAGATCGGTTTCTGATCCGTCAAGGATGTGGCGCGAGCTTTCTAATCTGGGCCTCATACGATCGCCTCTCTTCTCCACTTAGCTTTTTTTCGCGCGACGAACTTAACACCTACTATGCCTCTATCTCGAATTGCTATCCCCCTTGTTCGAAGTCACAATTTTCTGACTTAATACTGTCAATTGTGCCCGAAGAGCCGCTATTCACGTTTTCACAAATAACGTTTGATGGTCTGCGTTCAGCAATGAATTCTTCATCTACTTCCTTCGCCTCGGGTTACGATCAGTTGCCACTCTCCATCATTGCCTTGGCTTTGCCTCATGTAGTAAATCTTGTAATATCACTCTTCAATAGTTGCATCAATTTTGGATATTTTCCTTCGCTCTGGAAACGTGCTATAGTTCGCCCATTTTCCAAAATCAAGTCACCATCCTCTCCTTCCGACACGAGACCATTGCTAATTTGTGTGAACTTTCCAAGTTGTTTGAGAAAATGTTGCATAGACAAATAGTGGACTTTATCAACACCAATCATATTCTTGATGATCGACAGTCAGGCTTCCGTAAGGGTTGCTCCACCCAGTCTGCCCTTCTAAGAATATTCCATGACGATAAGAGCGGCCTTGACGCGGGCGAGGTTCTAATTCTGGTTCTTTTTGACTTTAGCAAGGCTTTCGATACGGTCTCGCATCTTCTATTGCTGACCAAACTCAGGAAACTGGGGTTCTCCGATCTAGCCCTGAAATTGATCTTCTCTTACCTCACGGGTCGTTCTCAAGCGGTTGTCGATCTCGAGGGTAGTTTCTCAGACTGGCTACCTGTCAATTCTGGTGTTCCGCAAGGATCCGTTTTGGGTCCTCTCCTTTTCTCCCTCTTTATTAACGATATTAGCGCTTTTCTTAGATTTACTGAGCATATGATATTTGCCGACGATACACAAATTTATCGCAGGTGTCTCGTCAGTCAATTGAATGCTGCCTTGCAGCTTGTGGCACATAATGTGGGTATGATTCGAATTTGCTGCATCTAATGGGTTGTCTCTTAACCTTGGTAAATCCAAGGTTTTAATACTCGGCAGCAGGCGGTATGTTCGACAGATAAACCTTAAAGACTTACCCCTTATTTCCGTTAATGGCACCTCTATTCCGTTCGTTGCCGAGGCACGTAACTTGGGTGTTATCATGAGCTCCGACCTATCTTGGGATAGCCACGTCTCTCACATTTCTAAGAGAGTACATTTTACGCTGCACAAGCTAAAATTTCATAAAAACTCCCTAACACTTTAGCTTCGTGTAAAACTGGTGACCGCTTTGATTTGGCCTCTGCTGGACTACTGTTCACTCGTGTACAATGTCACCGATGAGCTCAACACCAAACTGCAACGACTTATTAATTGTACAATTCGGTTTATTTATAATCTTAGACGTGACGAACACATCACGCCTTATCGACACCGATTAGGGTGGTTGTCTGTAAAAAATAGACGCCTTTACTTTCTTGGCATCGAAATGTTCAAGATATTCCACGGCATGTCTCCTAGTTATCTCTCTGAAATTTTTACTAAACCAGATCCCTCAATTAGACAATCGTCACGGCTAGTACAATTGCATACTTTTTACCTTCCTAACCATAGAACTGAGACCTACCACAGGTCCTTCCACCTCGCGGAAAGTTATTTTTGGAACTCGCTTCCTACTGATGTAGTCTCGTCATCGTCCGTCGCCGATTTTAAGAGCAAGTTCCACAACCATCTCTCCTCGCTCGAGCTGAGTTTGGTTCAAGGTTCTACAGTGTGCTCTCCTGCTCAATCATAGTTGTTAAATGGTGCCATATCATTGCATATATTTAGTTATTGACTTTGCAAGGCTTATTCTGGTCTTAGTTTTTTTGCTTAAATTTTCGCGATTAGTTTTTAGTTTTGTGAACATACCTAGTCGCTGACCTTGCAAAGTTTAAACAAGTTTAAACCAATTATGTGTTTTTCTGTCATAATTTTTGCGAATTGTTTTCTAATTGCGATCTTTTTAACTGGTTGTATGCATTGCTTCTTTGCGGCATCCCTTGCGCAGGACGAGTAGCATGTTCTAATATTCTCTTTCTATATATCTCTCTCGTCCTTCGCTGTGGATGCATCACCGGCTCTTCATTTCAATTGTTTTATGTTGGATTATTGTTGCTCGCCTTACGAGAGAAAGTAGGAACATGCTTGCGGTCGCTGCTATATGCATTTTACCTGGGGCCCGATTCTCTAACGACAAACGTATGCGCAAACTCTGCTCTAACAGAAAAGCTGCAAGCTTATTGGCTAAAAACTGTGCGATAGCCAATCAATTTGCAGCCTTTCTGTTAGAGCAGAGTTTGCGTATACGTTTCTCGTTAGAGAATCGGGCCCCTGCTCGCTAACCAAGATTTTTATTTACTGCTAATTGCACATCGGTAGCGATTACACTGCGTCTCGCATCTGTTTCTAGCTTTTAATTACTGTTTTTCATATCTTTGTTTATATATTTGTTTTTGTCTCGTTTATACATTTATACATTTGTTAATTCACAAATAGCTTAAAGTCTTGCCTATGGCTTAAATAAAATTAATCTCTCTTTCTCTCTCTCTCTCTCTCTCTCTTTCTCTCTGACATTGACATTTGAGAAGCATGTGCAATATGTTATTAAAAAGATGAGTGCTAAGACACAATTTATTAGGAGAGTGGGTGTCGACCTATCATTATATGTAAGAAGCATATTGTATAAGGCAATTGTGGCACCACATATGGAATATTGCTCAACAGTATTTATGAGTTTGAGTAGAGTACAATTAGATAAGTTGCAAGTATGTCAAAATAGGGCAATTAGGTCAGTACTTAAATGTTCGATATACACCTCATGCGATGAAATGAGGAGTGTCTTAGGAATTATGAGCGTAAGTAGGTAAGCTATGGGAGTTCTAAGCCATGGGGCAATGAGGGGGGGTGAGGGGCAAGGGGGAACCGCGGGGGGGAACCGCGGGCGGAGGGGGACCGCGGAGGGGGGGGGCCGCGGGAAAGGGGGAGGGGGGAACCGCGTGTTTCGGGCGCCGCGGGGGAGGGGAAGGGGGGAACCGCGTGTTTCGGGCGCCGCGGGTGAGGGGAAGGGGGGGGACCGCGTTTTCCAGCGCCGCGGGGCGAGGGGGGTCCGCGTTTTCCGGCGCCGCGGGGCGTTCGCGTTTTCGGGCGCCGCGGGGCGAGGGGACCCGCGTTCGCGTTTCGCCGCGCCGCGGAGTCCGCGTGACGTCACACGGCACGATCACGTTATCTCCCCCTCGTAGATGTTTCTTTCCCGTCCCCCCCTTTGTCTTCTCGTTCGCGCGGTGTCTTGCGCCCCCGTCCCCTGTTTGCGCGAGTCTTCTCGTTCGCGCGGTCTGTTTCCCTCGCGCGTTTTCGCTCAGAAATTATGCGAAAATTATTAAATAGAAAAATTGCTTACCACCGCATGATTTCAACCTGAAACCCCTGGCTCTTGAGTCACCTTCCGCACTGTGTGTGTGTGTGTGTGTGTGTGTGTGTGTGTGTGTGTGTGACACAACATTGATTGTCTTTTTATTGTTACACTTATTGTTACACTTATTGTTAATCTCTTAGCAGTATAGGTCTCTTAATTTTAGATAATATACACTTAAAATATTTCTCCAGGCACTTCCATTTCTTCATCATTTGCTTCAACTTCCATTCTTTCTTCTTCTTCAAACTACAATTCTTCAAAATCCATTTTATATACACTTTGCTTACTTGTACTCACGCGCTAAAATATGAACTTTGGATAATATCCGAAAGTTCTTTTCCAATAAAATTCGTTGTCGAGAAAATCTTGATGCGATCGGAGATCAGCGATTCCGATCTCGCGACGGAATAGATATCGCGCTACGTCG